ATTAGGTGGAAAGTAACTGAAGGGTAGCAAAGAAAGAAGAAAACCTTCAATAGCTTGACTATTCTACCAAATTGACTCATTTCTTCTTGACAAAAAAGGAAGAATTTGACATTACTAAAGAGTTACTTAGGATTCTGTCTCAACCACCTATCCCTAAGCTTCTGGGCCTGGTTCCTGAAAGGCAGATTAAAGCTAATCCAGGATTTAAATTTTTTTCCACTTTTTGTATTTACCTTCCTATGCACTGGCTTAGAGTAATATTTCATGTTATCATTTCTTTTTTCGAAGTAAAGGCACAACAGTATATTGTAAGCTCCAGTTACATGTTCTCAGACAAGAAAAGCTTGCTTAAAATTTGGCTAAATCCTGGGTTAAACTTAACCATCTTTTGAGGAACTGGTCCTTGTTGTAGACATAATCTAACCCTTGTTAGCAGCATCTGCAAAGTCGTGCCAATATCCTTATTCTTGACAAATTACCAGAATTGCATTTTGAATTTTCCTTCAACCTCATAAACTTGAACTTTACTTACAATGTTCTACTCATAATGCAATCAGGTGATCAATAAAGCAAAAGAGATCAAATAAAGACAACTACAAAGGATTTCAAGAAATTGTGTCCTTAACTTGTGGAAGACAGCTTCTAATCAGTTCCTGTAGTTTTCAACAAGACTAGATTAGCCTTGACAGGGAACTGTCACCTTCCAGCTCTCTATAGATCTTGCGCTGTCGGCAGTACAGTACAGTCATCACAATGGTTGTTATACCAAACAATACAGCAAATCCAGTAGCCACCCACTTTCCACTAGAACTACCTGAACCACCATTATGATGCCCTAAAACAAAACAGAAGTAACCCTGTTAATACTACAGTGACATTACAACTTTTGAAAATGTTACAGGTCAAAATTATAATTACTCAGGTTATAATTTTTCAACTAGGGTGAATCTCAATTTCTTTTGTCTTCAGCCCTAATTCATGAGTAATTGGGGCTAGGGGAAAAAATTGTTACCTGAATTTAATTTTGACCTGCAACAAAAACGTCTGGGTAAACTAGTTCACACTGTGTTGTGTTCAGTAAGGGTTTGGTATCAGAACTTTGTGTCAGTCAATTCTGTCTGTAATGATCAAACTCATCATTACCAGTAAACAAATCAGGTGAACATATGTGAAATTTATTTACAGGCAAAGTCAAAAATTCAAATTACATTTCACATCCACAGAGGACTGCACGCACAATCTGAAAGTGAGATGTTAACCTACGTTGTAATCAGAAACATATAAGAGAGCAAATAAGAATCCACTCTACATTGCTGTTACTTCATACACAGAAATTAGAAAATTTAAACTTGTATAAAGTATAATCAATGGCACACTAGAAATTTGCTGACATTATGTTGATTCCAAAATGAATTTTTAAAAAAACAAATGAAGCAGAAAGTGCTTTAATAATAATGAAGGTGTTGCAAAAAGGACAAGACAAGTGTAATAGATTGTACATATGCAGCAATAACAAAAGCGTTTTAGGTAATAGTATTAATAGTCAACTCTTGACACATTCACCTCAGCATTACCAGTAATGGGAATACCAATCAAAACTTTTTGAACGGCCAAACTAAAAGATCTACCTTTTGGGGATGGTGTCACAGGAGATGGCTTCACATTTGTGGTTGGTACTGTTGTACTGTGGTTTCCAGGTTTGCTTGTAGGTGTTGAGCTGCTTCCAGGAGTGGGTACTGTACTGACGTTTGAGGTTGTGGGTCTGACTGTGACAGTCACAGAGGAAACAGTAGTGGTGGGTGTGGGTTTAATGTTACTAGTAGTAGATGGCATTACAATAGGTGTTGATGTAAGATGATGGCTTGGAGTAAGTACCCTTGAAATGGTAGATGAAGCAATGCCTATGGTAGTGTTGTTTTGTCCATGCACTGTAAACATAAAGAACTAGTCAAGATTAAACAAAACACAATAATTAATATTATTGTCAATTTAATATCTTGCAGGGGTATGTGTCTTACATTATCTATCTACCTATTGGAACCCAGTCAATATGCCACCAACAGCTAGGCAACAACAATTTGGTGGATTAGTAGGACAGAGCCATTGCTGTTTTCTTTTCTTCTTATTATTGTAGGCTAGGTGTGCTGACTTATAGAGGAACTGACTATTTATAAGCGAACAATATGACATTTTAGACACTGTTAGTTAAAAAAAAATATATAAAAAAAAAAAAAAATATTTATATATATATTCGTTCTTTGAGTAGAACGTATTAGGTAAAGCGAGTAACTAAATTGATTGAGCATCACAAGCTATAAATTCCAAAAAAATTCGGATTCATACGT